GTTCTTAATCCAGCCCTAGAAAGTCAAATGGCCTTTTTAGATAGTAGCTCTGAGATGTGTTGCAGTTCTAACATTTTATGATTCTATTAATTGAAATCTCACTTGATTCTGTAGATAGAAAAACTAATGGTACTTTATTTTCCTTTGTCATAGTTAAATATGATTTTGAAGGTTAGCCTGGGAACTTTACCACAAAAACTCTGTTTCTACAGAAAAAACAAGTGTGCTCCTGCATTTCTGGGATGAAGCATGCAGAGGTTCCTGGCACCATCAGGCATGAGTCAGGTATTCCTATCCTGGGAACTGCCTAGGATATTTTAGCAGTCCTCTCTCTGGACTAAAATATCCAGAATTGGACTTTGTCAAAACTTCCTCTTTGTCATTCAGCAGTACAGTAATACACACAGAGTTTAAAGCAAACCTAGATTAACTATCCTTTCAATTAATTTAATCAAACCTAGATTAATTATCCTTCAGTGATGGTTCTTTAAATCAATAAATAGCAATCTGGAAGATCCAAAGAAAGTTTCTCAATCCAATGAAACTATGTAAAGCAAAAAACATTTCCTAATGATAAATTAAAAAAAAAAATCTTCCTAGAGATTTCAAGAGCCTTATCTTTTGGAGTAAGAAGGTATATGTGCTTTCTGAGATAGATCTAATCCAAACAGCCATTTTCAGTCAACCATTTATTAAAGTTCACAGTACTCCACAGAACAATTTGATAATATTTTGCCATTCTGACAGGGTAACACTAGTATATGGTATCACACAGTACAGTATTTTAAAATAATTATTTTTTAAAAGACTTTATTTGAGAGAGAGTACATGGGTGGGGTGAGGGCCAAGGAGACTCCCCACTGACCTGGATCCCAGGACCCAGGGATCATGATCTGAGCTGAAGTCAGATGCTTAACTGACTGAGCCACCAAGGCACTCCTAAAATAATTATTTTTTAAATTTAGTACTATTATAGTGTTACAAAGGTAAGAATCATCCTTTTGTAATCTCCCAATCTTAAAACATTTTGAAAGTATATAGTCTACAGATAGATGATTCACAACATGAAAAAGAATGTAATGAACAGTAAGACACAAACTTCTGTGGGATCAATCCATCTACTAAATTGGCTTTCCCTATGCCTCACACACAACTATGTAAAACCTTAGCAAGGAAGTTAATTAACATTTACAAAAAAACTACTTAATCTTGACCACCTACATAAAGCAAAAAATATTTGAAACTTTTTTTTTAATATTTGAAACTTTAAAATAAGATAGCATATATGGTTTAAATGATTTAATCCTTATACTCCTGATTGCTTACTGAACCTCAACTTTTTAATTCACAAATTAAACTAGTGCCTACCAACCTACCAGAAATGTGTTATTGTTTTTAATTTGAATTGGTTGCCAAAAATCTGGATTTGCGGCTTTCCTTTTAAAGGGGAATAAAAGGGAAGATCTGGCAACACTGGGCCCACAGATCCTGGTAATAGTAACATTTGGAGAGAGCAGGGTAGCAGCTGCCCTCTTCTGATAGCGTATGTAATGTCTAGTTCCCCCCAACTCTTTGCTCACTTTTAGAGCTATTGGAGTTTGAAATCTTTATCTTACAGAGGTGGTTTTTTTTTTTCCTTTGGTGGAAAGTGGGTATCTTTTGAAGGGTCTTGGAAGAAGCTAGCTATAAAAATCTTTATAATAGAACCAATAAATCAAGTGAGGATCTTGGCATTAAAACCATGTATACCAAATGTTAACTATAAATATCAGGATACCGCTAAAATATTACTGTTAAGAAAACAGGTTTTAGTATACTAACTTTGATTTGTCTTCAACTCCTCAAAGAATCAAGACAGTCAATCTTTTATCCTTCCAAAGAATAAAGAAATTAACCCTGTACTTCAATATTATGGCACTTTAAGAGTACCTCAAAGCCTCCGGCATCTGTATAACAAAAGAAAAACAGGAAATAAAAAAGGTCTCTGATCAGTCAGAGACCACACAGTTCACAGAACACATGAAGTCATCACTCAGAGCCTACTGGATCTTATTTTAGACATAATTTTAATAAGCTCCGTGATCTAGTTTCCCAGCCCACAACAGATGAGATGCAGCCAACTGGAAAAGGGCTGGGGGTGGTGCTGCAAGAGGCAGACACTCAAAGCATCAAAATCAAAGCTAAAGACCTATAAAGTCAGCAGAAAACCTCAAAACACAGCAGGCTAGGACCATGTGGTGTAGATATAAACAAGCCCAGAGGGTCCTAATCCCTGCACAGAACTATACTGGATGTTCATAATGACCTTCTTTGGAACACTCTGTTAAGTCAGGAGACCTTAAAGTGTGTTATCAAAATAAAGTCCATCAAAAGCTTCTGCCAAAAAGACAATGCATTTAAAGGACTGTCAAATTCACAGAACACTCTTTCCCTCAAGACACTGAGTTCTAAAGATGCCACATTGTCAAATGCATTTGTTCTCAGCAAAAGTTTATTAGAACCCAGATGCAGCAGCTCATTATACCTAACATTAACAGAGTATTTTTAAGTAGAACTATATTTTCAGAGGATGATAGTTGAAAAGGTTCAAGATCAATTACATAAGCCAAGTAAGTTTTTTTGGGGATTCCACTGTAGATACATTACTAGGGCCAAGAAGATAGTAAGAACTAGTCTTACCCATACCTAAGTAAGTCTGACTTCAACTTAAAATTGCTATTATACAAAAAATTGGGGGGAAAAAATCTCCATTTTGTTTTCACAATCTTACTGACTAGCATACCAAAATAAATTTTATTTTTCTATTCCCCGGCAGTCTCAGAAGTTGAGCCATACTTTGAGGAGGGCCCTAAGTTATAAAACAGGAGGAAAAAAGGCTAATTACTGAGTTTTAAAAGTTCAAAGTATCATTGCCTAAACTTGATCTTATTGAAATTTTTATAAGATATTTTAGAGAAAATCTAGAGAATATGTAGCAACTCAAAAGAAACTAATTACTGGGGCAAGTATATGAGATTAAAGTACATGTTTTGAGTTCCTTTCTCTGAAAAAATAGAATACATATCAATTAACATAGAGATTAAAAGGTATATTTATTGATCTGCAAATTATCATACATACTCCTCTTCAGGTTTTAGAGTAAGAACATGGAGAGAGGAGTTTAAAAAAAAAAAAAGAGCAGTCTTCTACAGTTACAATCTCAAATTGATAACCCATTGAGACCCTATAAAAACTACTAAAAGCCTTAAAAATACACGGACGCCTGGGTGGCTCTGCAGTTGGGTGCCTTTTTTCGGCTCAGGTAGTGATCCCAGGATCCCGGATAGAGACCCGCATCAGGCTCCCTGTGAGGAGCCTCTTCTCCCTCTGCCTGTGTCTCTGCCTCTCTCTCTCAGTCTGTGTCTCTCACAAATAAATAAATAAATCTTAAAAAAAAAAAAAAGCCTTAAAAATGTATATACATTTTTATTTGGATGATGATTCCTCAGTATGCTCCTGTCCCTTAAATAGTTCTTTAAGAAATCTTTGGTTAAATTGCAAGCTCCTTTTAACAAATAACCTGCTTCATTTTAATGCAGGATTTACTCTGAACTCTGTCTTTCTTCATTTGTTAGAAATCAAAGAAATCCAAACAAGCTAGTAAGGATCTAACCTAATTTACGGTAACCATTAGGATTAATTCCACGTTAAAGGTCTTTGAGCATGAATGAAGTGAAAATCCACTGCAAACTGAGGTGTTTTAATTGTCCAACAGTCTGCATTTGCCCTGAGTTTAGGGCAAGATGAATATTTGTTCTCTTCCCGGTACATCTCCATCCCATTCCTCCCGATGGATAATCCCGGGATCTATTTATAAGTGGTTAAAGGTTTAACAGAGCTTCTCCAAGGAGCTAAGTAAAACACCAAACAAAAATCATCATTAGTACTTCTCACTTTTAAGAAAAAGACAGGATAGTAAGAGGCTCCAGGAGTGTTACAATATTGGGGGTACTCTAAATTTAAAGCCAGGCCCATAAGGTAGAATCAGTATACGGAAAACCTTCATACAAATAACTAACCTTTCATCTTAAAGGGCAAAGATACCCTTTCGAATAGAAAAAATTGAGCAAAATTCCTTCCAAATTCAAAGGGTCTCCCTGAACATATCACGTAATTTACACGTTAAAATCCACCGTATAAAGAGACAGTAAAGGGAAACTTTGTATAATTCCTTCAGTGGTTTTCAATGTTCAGGTTTCTACTTCTATCCTTGCAAATTTAAGTTTTTCTATTAGATGCATTCCTATAAAAGTTTAATTTCAGACTACCCTTGGCAACCTCAAAGAACAAAACCTTTTTCTACTTCCCTCCTCCCTCAAGAGTCATGTTTGTTTTGTTTTGTTTTCCTTCTGAACTTCCTACTCTTTTAAGTTTCTGGACGAGTGGAGTGGACCGAAGTGCGCGGCCGCCAAGAGGTAAGTAAACTCAAGGAATACTTGTGGATCGGACAAAAAGGCTTCCTCCGTGTGCCTGAGACGTGGGCTCCAAGCTCAGGCGGCTCCGAGGAGGGAACCAGGGCAGGTGGGCGGGAGGCGGGAGTCGGGGGACACGGGCAGACGTGGGGCGAGGAGCCCTTTCGACCTCTGTCAATGGGACAGCTCAGCGCCCCAGCCCAGCTCCCCCTCCCGGCATGGCCGGACAATGGCCCTCTAGCGCAGCAGTCCCAAGCCGGGCAGAGGCCCTGGGACTCCATACCACGCGGGGCCTAGAAAGGAGGCCAGGGAGGCACGCTGAGCCGGCTGGCGAACCTCCGGCCTGAGCGCGGGCTGCGTACCGGGGCCTCTACCGGCGCCATCACTGGGAGTGGGGTGTGAAGGGCGCCCGGCAGGACCATCGCCGCCGGCAGCCGGGTCCGAAGAGGCCGCGAGCCAGGCGGAGGCGACGGCGGGAAGTGCAGGCCGCAGCCTGCTCAGCGAGCCCGCCCAGCGGCCGGAACCCTCAGCCGACCTCCGGCCGCTTACCTTGTGGATTCTCTTCAAAGCCATCGTGGGAGACGGGTGGCGGTGGCCCCCGGGGCGGGGACGGGGACAGGGGAGGGACGGGGAAGGGGCGAGGGGGCGCGAGGCCGCCTCAGTGACCGCGGGTCGGCCGGAGAAGATGGGGAGTTCGGGAGCGCGAGTCTGGCAGGACCGACTGCGGGCCGAGGCCCACTTGGCTCCTGAGCCTGCCGCAGCGGTCACCGCATCACCCGGCGGCGGCCCCTTTATGCGCTGCCGCCCGAGCCGCCGCCGCCGCCGCCGCCGCTGCCGCCGCCGCCGTAGCTGCCTCTTCCACCTATTCTCAGCGCCGCCTCCTCAGCCGCCGTGGATCCCTCCGCCGGGGAGCAAGAGCCCAAGCCTCGGGCTCGGCCGGCGCCGCTCAGTGGAACAGCCAGAGGAGGGACTGCCTGCTGCAGGTGGACGGAGGGACTCGCGGGCGGACGGGCGGGCGGGCGGCGCCGCCGGGGTGGGGCCGCCGGAGCGCGGGGTGGGTCCAGGCCGAGGGGCAGGTCGGGAGGCCCGGGGATTGGCGGGCGAGGGGAGGGAGGGCCGGACCGCGCCGGCGGCGGAAGGATACGGGCCGCCCCTGTTAGTGGCTTACGCGCGGTCGCCTTCGCCGCCACGGCCGCCGAGAGGATGACGCCGCGAAGCGCAGGGGAGCAGTCTCGCGAGATTTATGGAGCGGGTGGTAGATGCTCGCGCGACGGCAACCTTGAGTCCCTTGCCTCCGGTGCCCTACGCGCGTGTTCATAAACGTTTAAAAAGGCGAATGTTTTCCGGATCCACTTGGTCAGCGCCATAGCACAGACTGACCCGGGAGGGGGGTACAGGCCCACTACAACGTTCCTGTAGGAGGAAGGGACTTGTCCAAGGTCACACAGCTCTACAGAGGCAAAGCCGGGACTTCAAAGCCTCGTGGTAACAGCCTGGGCACCTGTTGGGGATGTGTCTTTTTTTTTTTTTTTTTCAGCCCGCCTCTGGCCTTTCTTTCTTTTTAAAATTTTTATTTATTTATTCATGAGAGACAAGAGGCAGAGACACAGGCGGAGGGAGAAGCAGGCTCCATGCGGGGAGCTAGACGCGGGACTCATCCTGGGTCTCCAGGATCACGCCCTGGGCTGAAGGCGGCGCTGAACCGCTGCGCCACCTGGGCTGCCCGCCCTTGGCCTTTCTAGCCAAAGCCCCACCCAGCAGCATGACAACTGCAAGATCTCTTAGGTAGGCCTTGCTTTGCTTGGTGAATTGTTACAAACAAGCACTGCACCAATTAACCTCAGAAAAAAACGGTGTACTGTGTGCTCCAGGAGTTAAAACTAACCATGTGGTTCAGATCGCCGTCAGGAGCTAGCCTGCTTTTTAGGAGGATGAGACAAATGTGAATTCCCCGAGTAACTAGTGTGTGTAGAGCCCTACACCACGACCAGTGAGATATAGGTTCAAGCCTAGGCTGGGAGGTACTTAGCCTGGCTGGAGACAATGGAGAATAATAGTTAAGGATTATTTTCCTGGTGAGTGATGCTCACATTCTCAACTTCATCCCAAGGCTTATCTGATTCTAAAACTATTCTTTCCTATGTCTGGAAGGGATCTTGGAGATCATTGATTTCTAACCTGAATTTCGAGAGGAGAAACTGGAGCTCCTAAGGGAAGGATCCTGCCAAATGTTACACAGTAGATCAGGGGCAAAACGTACACTGCCTCTCTTAGGGAGTAAAGGTTGGACCAGTAGGGAGGGCTAACATGGGCACAGCAAGTCAAAGGAGGGAAAAGCTGCATCTAGTCGTCCAGGGTGGGTATATTTGAGCTTGGAAGTGAGGAGGAACATTCCACATTCCCAAATCTTTTCTTCCTAAGAACTGTGATGGAAGAAGTACAAAAATGCCCATTGATCCTATTTTTAAAATCTTTTCTTCAACAGTTCATTTTTTGTGTGTGTGTTAGAAAAACAATATTTGTTACAAGAAATACAGATAAGCAAAATGAAGGAAATAAAAGTCAACCATACTCTCATCATTTAATGCTTAACCACTTTTGACATGGTTTATGCCTAAGTCTTTTTTCCTTATAAATAAATACCTATTTTTCTTTGAAAAAAAGTAGAATCAGGGGCACCTTGGTGGCTCAGTTGGTTGGGGGTCTGCCTTCAGCTCAGGTCATGATCCCAGGGTTCTGGGATCGGGTCCCACATCAGGCTCCCTGCTTAGTGGGGAGACTGCTTCTCCCTCTTCCTCTGCCCCCCCCCCCTTGTGCTGGTGCGCACTCGCTCTCTCTCACTCAAATAAATCTAAAAAAAAATCATGCCGTAATACTATTTGGTAATATACTTTTTTAAAAAAAATTGCATATATTTAAGATCTACAACATGATGGTTTGAAACAAATATGGAGGCACCTGGTTGGCTTGGGGAGTATGCAACTCTTAGTCCTGGGGTTATAACTTTGAGCCCTGTGTTGGGTATAGAGATTACTTTAAAATAAAAAATTAGGGGGGATCCCTGGGTGGCTCAGTGGTTTAGCACCTGCCTTTGGCCCAGGGCGCGATCCTGGAGTCCCAGGATCGAGTCCCAGGATCGAGTCCCACATCGGGCTCCCGCATGGAGCCTGCTTCTCCCTCCTCCTGTGTCTCTGCCTCTCTCTCTCTCTCTCTCTCTCTCTCTCTCTCTCTTTCTCTCTCCCTATGTCTATCATAAATAAATAAATAAATCTTTTAAAAAAATAAAATAAAATATTAGTGCCGCTTGAGTGGCTCTGTCAGTTAGGTGTCCAACTCTTGATTTCAGCTCTGGTCATGATCTCAGAGTCGTGGAATCGAGCCCTGTGTTGGGCTCCATGTGAGTGATTCTTTCTCTCCTCTCCCTCTGCCCCTCCCCCTGCTTGTGTGCATGTACATGCTCTCTCTCTCTCTCTAAAATAAATCTTTTAAAAAATTAAAAATATTAAAAAACAAAATATATAAATATAGTGAAATTATTATTACAGTCAAAATAATAAACATATCCATTGCCTTGCTTTTTTTTTTTTGGTGAGAACATCTGAAATCTTTGATAATTACTTTTGTAGATTTTATTTTTGTTCTTTTCAATTACATTTTTATTGAAAAATAGTTAATTTAAAATATACACATTATTTTTTTAAAAGCATATAATTGGGGGGAGGGATCCCTGGGTGGCTCAGCAGTTTAAGTGTCTGCCTTCGGCCCAGGGCGTGATCCTGGGGTCTTGGGATCGAGTCCCGCATTGGGCTCCCTGAGTGGAGCCTGCTTCTCCCTCTGCCTGTGTCTCTGCCTCTCTCTCTCTCTGTGTCTTATGAATGAATAAACAAATCTTTAAAAAAAAATAGGGTCAAGAAAGAAAAGAAAAGGAAGGAAGGAAAGGAAAGGAAAGGAAAGGAAAGGAAAGGAAAGGAAAGGAAGAAAGAAAGAAGAAAAAAGAAAGAAAAGAAAAGAAAGAAAGAAAGAAAGAAAGAAAGAAAGAAAGAAAGAGAAAGAAAGAAAAAAATTTATTTTAGAGAGAGAGAGAGAGCATAAGTGAGTGAGTAGTGGGGAGGAGCAGAGGGGCATAGAGAGAGGGAGAGATGATTTCCAGCAGATTCCCTGCTGAGTGCAGAGCCCAACACAGGCCTTGATCCCACAACTATGAGATTATGACCTGAGCAGAAACCAAGAGTCAAATGCTTAACACACTGAGCCATCCAGGTGCCCCTTGAAAATCTACTTTTAAAATAAACAATATATAGTAAAATTTCCTGTGTCAATACACATTTCTACTATATTTTAATGGTCACATATTCTATCATGTAAACGGACCATATTTATTTAACTGGTCATGTTTCGGGGAACATTACTGTTTCCAGAGTTATTTCCACTTTTTACCATTAAAAATATTACTATAATGGATGTTCTGTAGTTAATCTTTTGTACAATTCTAAGAGTGCTTCTTCAGAGATTTTTGCATGTATGTTCATAAGGAATATCAGTTTATAATTTTCTTTTCTGTAGTATCTTTTTTGTATATTTTTTTATTAGAGTTTGATTTGCCAATATATATGATAACACCCAGTGCTCAGCCCGTCAAGTGCCCCCCGCAGTGTCCATCACCCAGTCACCCCAACCCCCCGCCCACCTCCCTTTCCACTACCCTTTGTTCGTTTCCCAGAGTTAGGGGTCTCTCATGTTCTGTCTCCCTCAATGATGTTTTCACTCATTTTCTCTCCTTTCCCCTTTATTCCCTTTCACTATTTTTTATATTCCCCAAATGAATGAGACCATATAATGTGTGTCCTTCTCCAATTGACTTACTTCACTCAGCATAATACCCTCCAGTTCCATCCACGTCGAAGCAAATGGTGGGTATTTGTCATTTCTGATGGCTGAGTAATATTCCTTTTGGTCGGTCTTTCACTGCATTTGTATCTTTAGGGTAAATCCCCAGCAGTGCAATTGCTGGGTCGTAGGGTAGCTCTATTTTTTTTTTTTTTTTTTTAGATTTTATTTATTTACTCATGAGAGTCACAGAGAGGCAGAGACACAGGCAGAGGGAAAAGCAGGCTCCCTGTGGGACTAGATCTGGGTCTCCAGGATCAAGCACGCCCTGGGCCGAAGGCGGCACTAAACCGCTGGGCCAGCGGGGCTGCCCATGGGTAGTTCTATTTTTAACTCTTTGAGGAACCTCCAGTTTTCCAGAGTATCTGTACCAGTTCACATTCCTACCAACAGTGCAAGAGGGTTCCCCTTTCTCCACATCCTCTCCAATATTTGTTTTTTCCTGTCTTGTTAATTTTCACCATTCTCACTGGCGTGAGGTGGTATCTCATTGTAGTTTTGATTTATATTTCCCTGATTGCCAGTGATGTGGAGCATTTTCTCATGTGCTTGTTGGCTATGTGTCTTCTTTGGTGAAATTTCTGTTCATGTCTTTTGTCCATTTTATGATTGGATTGTTTGTTTCTTTGCTGTTGAGTTTAATAAGTTCTTTATAGATCTTGGAAACTAGCCCTTTATCTGATATGTCATTTGCAAATATCTTCTCCCATTCTGTAGATTGTCTTTTAGTTTTGTTGACTTTGTAGTATCTTTAACATGTTTTCATATCAAAGTTTTTCTGGC